CTTTAGGACAGCAAGTCCATCCATATGCCAACAAACCACATACATCGAATGTTTAAGGCTTGGTTAGTGGCAAAAGCATATTGCGAGACCCTCATTAATATCCTCTAACATAAAATATACTTGCATCATACAGAGTTACCAAATAGAAGCATGCCAATTTTAGATTAGATTCGTCGTTAATGAGATTGAAAACGTATGCACATTAATATTTCGATGCAATTCTTGTCAATAAAGTATAAAAGGGCTTGAGTATCTACCTCATTCGTGGACGATCTGATACTTGACATGCGACTCGATACTCGGCTAAATTTGAGATCCGCAGTCGTTCGAGGATCCTGGGACTGTGAGGAATGTCTTCCTTCAGTGTGCTGCTTCTCCATAAGAGACTCAATCAAATTATCTTTTGCCTCTGCTGGTGGCGCCGAAAAACCTCTAGCTTCGTTACTCTATAAAAATTTAAAAATAGTAATTAAAAGTGTTACTTAAATGCAAAAGTAGCAAATCTCACAAAGGAATCAGAAGAACGAGGGTTATACGTTGCGACATCGAAGGAGGTGATATCTGTCACTTCACTCGCCCCGACGTTATTGGGTTGGCAGGTAATTAATTCCATCGGAGTAGGTGAAAATGGCGAATAAGTTTGTTGCTGATGTATGTGAGAATCCTGTTTATTGAACTTCGAAAGTTCCTGCGCATCCATCCATCTATTGTGAGTACTTCCAGCAAGACAACAAGGAAGATCGTTATTAGCAGGCCAATGCCAGGCCTGTTCAAGCAGACGACCTCCAGGTACCCTAGTGATAAAGAATTTTATTTCAAATAGCAAATCTGCTGATCCCAACTGACAGTAGAGCACTTGGTGGTTAAAATCTTTATACGACTCCTTTATATTTATCAGTTTAAAATGTCATCAGACATGCAAATACAGCACAACTAAAGTTTTTTCATTTCCATTTTAATTCTTATACACAAACTTGGTAAATTGCTAACACAATGTGATGGGTACCACTGTTGTTTAGGACTAATTTTAAAAATGATTTATACCGGGTATTTAAAGACTTCTAACTAAAACCACAGGAAAGTAAAAAATGACCGAGATGTTTAGACCCATGGCAATTAGTGTTAAAAGCTTACTGAAAAGTGTGCAGAACGACAAGTTATTCGATCCATTTATGCAAGGAAGGCTAATATACTAAATCGCTAGAAGAAAAGAATCGTTAACTTTTGCTCAGTTCTATAAACATTTGCAATCTACGTTTCCATTTTACGTGATTTACCAAATTGGAGAGAAGCTTTCCCAGTAGCGAGTGTTGCCATGCCAACATGGGCGTCACCATTTCTGTTTTACCAATGAAAGAATACAATGACAATGTAAGTCATTTATTGCATTATTTAAAATAAACATTGGTCAATAGTCACATCTTATTTTCAGGGCACAAAAGTGAGGTTGGTTAACTAAGAAATAACCATTGAGACTATTTTATTACCTTAAATGAGATTTAAAAGTTGTGTATAACGAATGAGAATCTGTTTTGAACATTGATAATTCACCAAAAAACAAATTATGACATAAAAAACTAGTAATGAACCATTTATTAAAGGACTATCCTCAATCTGAGAGTTAAAAAGGTATGTGGGGAACAGAACCTTAGCATGTTCCTAGCATCGTGCCTAGGAGCGATTGAGATCAAAATTTCAGAGACCTCTCGACTAATCAATGACCAATGTCATTACATGGTTATCGTGCTCGAAATTTCATATAATGGCTAAGCTCTCTGATAACGAAGGACAAAAACACTTAATCCAAAAGATACCCCCAACGGACAGCTCGAAGATCTTGACCCAACAGAGGGAACACTACCGATATACATCTCCGACATATCATCACCCGGATAAACGGGGCCCACGTGATAGGCCTGTTTCCACCTTAGCCTAGAGGTAGGTTAGTCAATTCTGGGAGCCTGTCCAAACTAGGTGAACTTGCCATAGGGATTACTGAGCACAGGTCAAGGCTTGTGAGTGCAGTAATCCGCTGGAGGTATCATGCTTTCTTTAATGTTGATCCAGATTAACTGCTATTTTTGACATGATACCATAATATTCATCCATTAAAAAGATCCGCAATTGTTAGGGAATAGATCACAGGCACCAAGATTGGAGATAAAAGAATATTACTCATAAAATTATAGTATTTTTCGGTTGATACGGATCAAAAAGCGAACATACACAATGCTATCAGTTTTTAATTAATGAAATGATCTGACAAATTCCTATAACGTAAAACTAGTTAACATTTTGTAAATCTAGAGAATTCGGAAGGAAAAAGATAAATTCAATGGGAATTTTTGTGCCATATTTCGTAAAATAGGCTATATATTCTGTCAGCACGATATTTATATGTTAATTTATTAGAAATGAATGAGTTTAGGTTAACCAGATACACTAGCTAAAATAAAAAAATTGAGAATACAAGACGGAGGAAAGATCGTGGACAATTTACGAGATATTTGTTTGTATTTCAACGTACACAATAATGAACATTTAAGATCAAGTTCATATATCAATGCTTTGTTCTGTTTGTCGATTCATTGATTTGTTTTTGAGTTCCACGTTATTCTCACTTTGATGCGAAGTTACAAACCTACTACAGGATTATCCCTTATGATTATTCCTATTCTGTTGCCAAGTTATCATTAAATATTGCGCATGATTAATCGTCATGAGAATTTGTCGAGTGAAAACAGCATCACAGAACCATAAATCTATACCCAAATCATGTTCAGCCCTTGAAAATTATCAATGCCTTTATTTTCGAGCGAACGATATGTTTGGTACCAATCCAGAAATTCGTTATATAATATTGATTGAAGTTATACTTGTGATAGAGCAGCAAAATTTGGGACCCGACAGTAAATATCATATGATAGAATAATGGAACTCAGAACATCTGGAAAGTTGAAAGATTGTAGCCGCTATCACATCCAAATAATAATAATAATAATAAGTACACTAAAAGAAACAATTACTTAAATTTCACTCACTTTCGCGGATATACGCACCAAACGAGGATATTTAGAGCTATGAGAACGAATAAAAGGGCAAATGCAGCCAGACCATAAGACCACGAGAGTGCTGAAGACTTGGTTTCAGTCAGCCATGTATCCATTCCGCGAATTTCTGCTTGTTTTTTCTCGAGATCAATATTTATTCCCACTACCCCGAGCTGTGTTATAAGTACCCAGCCTAAAAATTAATCAAATATTAAATAATTTACATTATTGAAATAGAAGGCTTGTATAAACCTACAAATAAAGACCATCAACACAACTGATATTATCACACTTTTTGATTTTCGTTTATCAACTACACCAAAAAGCATTGACAGTCCGCAACCAATAAGGCCGACGTAGAGAATCATGCTAAGAGTTTGCAGCGCTTGAGCGGCGTGAAACCATCCAGTGAATATCAGTGGCCAAAGAGCTCGTATTTTGTTATCAAAAATATAGAAGCAACCAGAGTAAAGACGTTGCTGGTCTAGGGGCGAAATGAATTCTTGTAAGCATATTTCCCATAAGCCAAGACTCTTAAAACGAGTAGAGGCACTGGGATATTTGGCAAACCAAAAAGGCAAAACAGTTGCAAAAAAGTTGCAGAAGAATCCAATTAATAACGCAGAGACGTATAAATAAAGTAAAGCATATTTTCTGCACCTAGAATGTCTGATTAAATTGTATAATATGTACTTGCATTATTATTAGCAATACCTCAAGCTACCCAGCGAAATGAAAATCAAGTAGTATTTTTCCAATATGTAGGTCCTAATCTTTAAAAGGAAATAAAACAATCATTCAATAATGTTTAAGCAAAACAATAAATGACACATGATTAACGACCTTACTCGTATAGCAATATTGGATTTGTACACTAAACTTACTGATTTATTTTGCTCTAAATAAACAAAAAGTTAAGTACAAAATGTCCATTTTATAATTAAAACAATATACATACTATGAGTCTATTTTAATTAATTTTAAAATTTTCTAATTATCGGGTGTGATCTTTTATCTAAAATTAATTGAATAAAGAATGATTAATTTGTTGGATCTTTAAGTAATTTAGTTCAGTAATGGTGTGAATTTAAAGATTTAGTGGGCATGCCAAAGATATTCCCAAGCTAAAATTTCTAATATGCTAGTTGATTCATTGATATTAATTAATTTAGGAGTAAATTCCAACCTGTTATGTTTGATTTTTTGAAATTTTTTAGTACCTTCTTTAAATACCTGTTCATATTCTAATTCCACAAGGCTGCAATGTTTCCAATTATTGCTGTAGTTATACAGAGATTAACTTTTCTTTAAGACGAAATCGGGAACTGTAAAATTGGAATCATTTGAAATACAATATTTTCAGTCTTAGAGATAAAGATGTAACATATTAGGTAACATATATTGCTGAAAAAATTCGAAATTTGTGGAGAAAGCTGTCCCACTTTAATGATAAATTGAGTAGGATTTAAATGCAAAATTTTTTTAATGATTGGTGTCTGTGCATGTACCTATGTGCAGTCACCAGACCTACTGTTAGATGGTTCTGACGATTGGGTCCTAATCGACAAATTTTGGTTGTCGTTTAGTTTACGTCGAAGATGTGGATCTTCTAGAAAGTCTTTGTCATCACACCTGCGCCATGCTGATACCTCTCTCTCTATCACTGTTGCCAACATTTATTTAAAATGGCAGGCGTCTATCTAGTTATCATTAGCCTTTAGCTGAATTCGTGCACACCCACCCGTTGCCAATATAAATGCTGATAGTTTTGATAAGTCAAAACTTTTATGTGTACTCCAGGACCTGCTCTTATTCCAGGATAACTCTCAAGGACATATGAGAAATCTAATTGTGCCTTCATACCCTACCCTTGTAAGTAGCATTATAGATCCCATACACCCCTTTTGTTTCGACCCCATCGTCCAGGTCTAATATTATTTATGCTTTTACATTCATAAATCGGAAGCTCAAGAATGAACCTTTCTTCAAAAGTCAAAAGGTTATTTATACAAAGTAAAGCAATCTTCGAGACGAGTAATCGCAATTCCGACGCACGCACGCACTACCGTCGACTAACCAATCAGACACAAATGAATCTGAGTAGACAGATTGACAAGGGAAATGGGAAGATGGGGAAATCAATTTCTGCTTCTTTAAGACAAGGACAGGTTTCTGAAAACGCTTCTACAAGCCACAACAGTTGACGAAGGAGGCATTTCTTCATTTTTTTGCCATTTCTGTATCTGTTCCTTCTGTCGTGAAATTTCTGGTCCAACATTTTGAATTTCTTCACGTAGCCAGCTTATATACGCGGCATCAAACTTGTCTAAAAGTTAAGGTTAGTACACTAATGTAATCTGATGGTAATAGAATTGGTTATTAATATCATAGGTCACTTACTAAGATGTTGCCACGAAGTTCCATGGATACGTGCGTAAAGAAGGAGTAATTCACGATGAACAGAATGAAGGATGCTCCAATTCGATCGTCGATTAGATTTGACAGCCAATAAAGCACCACTGACATTCTCATATTTCAAACAATCACCCGCTAATTGAACAATTTCATCCAGGGCACACTCCTGCCTTTCCTCACCATTTTCTGCGCAAGCTAAATCTGCCACACTGCTCGAAGGACTTACTGCAAACAAGAAAAACATGCTTAATGTGAATACTAACGTTGAAGAGAGGAAAGCTGCGATAGTCACTCACAATGACCAGAAGGATGAGAGGTGTCCCATAATCGATAGAGCATGGGGGAGACTTTGGAACCTGATACAGTAGAAACTTTTCGGGGGAAAGAGTCCCACCTAACCACTAGAAGGACTGGTAGATCAGGACTCAATGATACTTCCTGTGAACAGCGAAACAAGCTTAAAAAGGTAGGAGAAAGGTAGAAGAGCGAATAAGAAAGGGGGGAGAGAGTGTGCTAACCGAAAGAGCTCGCGCGATGGTGAGAGAACCGCCAAGAAGGACACGTCTGATGCCACCAAGACGTCTGGCCTCTGATTGAGCGTCCATCAGCCAAGCAGGGTAGGCATCAAGGAGATGGGTGGGCAAGCCAACTCGATGGAGGAGATAAACCAAATTCCAGAGCAGCACTCTCCCACGTCGGTGACTGAGAAGTTGTGAGGAGGAAAAGGCTTGCGCTCCCATTCCATCGGCATTTCGACCTCGAAAAGGAAGTAACGGGGCCACGTAATGTCAGAAATAACACTACCGAATGATTAAACTGTAGACACAAACAGCTTAGGAGTTAACAGTGGAGAAAAGAGGATTTCAAATGATCAAACACTTTTCTATCCTCATATAGCACTTAAGATCTTTCTTTAAACGCTCTCCTCAAGTAATGACGACATGTGCTCTGAAATCTCCAGGTTAATAATTAACCCTGATATTTACTTTAAGGATAATTAAAATTTGTTTCAAAATGAGTAAGTTGGCAAGTTAACCAGTATAAAATCAAATTTAAAGTCATTTAAAATCTATTTACTTCTCAATTCCTTCTCCGCAACACGACAGCAGCAGTTGGAGTTATCTATCTATTTTACGAAAAATATGCAACCTAGAGAAATCAAAGTGCACGAGATAGGCGTGTAACTGTTACCGAAATGACTAATCTCACTGGTTCATTTTAACTAGCAATAGCGATGGCAGATCGAATGTTACTTGCAATATTATTTCCAAAATTGCTTTAAAAAGACGAAGAATAGAAATATGTTAGAAAATAGTTCAATGCATATATCTTACCAAGAATAGCCTCAAGTTGTCGCCGCAACACAAGAGGGGAGAGGAAGGGGACAGAGATTTCGATGAGTCCATGAGACATTGGACTTGCGGAGTCTGAGATTGGCTCAAGAATGGCCACGGTGCGTACAGTCAGACGTGGAACGATAGCTGATTTCTGACAGGCGGCACAAGTGAAAGCATCCACTCCAGCAGCAACCCAATCGGCCATCACCTCTTCATCGTATAGAAGACGACCACAACCTTCACAAGGCGTGCAGGTAGTACAAATTACTCGCAGTTCCTGCACTTTTGCAGTAGAGGTTGCGGATGAACGGACGATAGTCGCGTTGTTGTTGTTCGGAAGAGAAGGATGAGGGGGTTTGGAGGAACGAGGGGACTCCGAACGTGCATGTTTTTGGCAAGAGTCTTCAGATGCTGAAAAATAAAGCACAGAAAGAAGTGACTATAAATCACATTAAAGAACCAAAATACCAAAGGTGAGACTACAGCTAATCACGGCATCGAATTAAAAGATAATTCAGATTCTGAAACGAAAGGATTTGGAGAAAATATCGAAAAAAATTCAAATTAATTTCAATTATAGAGCGAAAATTATACATATCCAGACAAAAGTTCTTCTTTTATTACCAATAACTCGGATGCATCGTTATATTTGAAGTCTTTCAAATGACAAGTGTTCTTGAATGCCATTCATTGAAGACATTCCTCAAATCTGCCATTAAAAGATACAAATCTCTATAAACGAAATAGGTTGATAGTTTAACCAAACAAAGGAAAATAAAAAATGTGGTAAAATATGTTTTTACAAGAGAAAAAATCCCAATATTTTAAAGTTAGGCATCACCTGATCAGATTAAGAATGAACGAATGGTCATATGAAATATTAAATAAATTTAAAAGCAAATGAATAGGAAATAGCTAACTGAATTCATTGACACAAACGACAACTTTCACCGTGGTATAACGTCAAAAAGCTCTACTATTCTGTCAAATAATGGTAGCGGCAGCAAAAAAATCACCTTTTATGAAGGAAGAAGTGCGTCGCGTCACAATCCATTCTAGTCAAATTTTATGAATTAGCTTAACGTACGAAATTGTTTTCTAAACTACTTTTTTAAATGTCCGGGTAAAAAATAAGAAATCATTCATTAAAATCGCAATCAGCCAACTACACATTGAAATTCTAAATACCAGTAGAATATCTAAAAAAATTGAGTATATGAGAATCCAAAGGATGAAGTGACGTCAACGGCAATTGAAGCTCACTATTTTTCAACGCCAAGTCCTTAGTTTTAGATCAAAAACCAATACACTCCCCCCACATTAAAAGTTGTACAGATTATGCTTTTATGAAGAAGAGGATCAAATGAAGGTAAATGAAGTGAGGAATGATTGGGAAAATGTTATGCATAAGTAGCCCACACTCACTGAGGGAGAGAAGTGGGACAGAAACAGAGGGAGACTGTTTTAAAGTACTCCTCACTCGACGCGCCACGACAAGGGAAGATGACCTTGAACGGTGCCGCCGTCTGGTCAGAGAAGAGATGGAGCCTCGAAGAGAGGCTGCGGTGGATAGCTCCATAATGAAGGGATTAGCTGGACAGATTCGATCACCCAACGAGCCCACTGCAAGACTACCAGCGATTTTGTACCAAGAAGGAGGTTGGTAGGAGAGGGCTAGTAGGTAAAACAGTAGTGACTGAGATATTAAGCATCCTGGGATTGGCTACCATCTAACAGAATTAGTGCAAATCCTCCCGTCATCTATTTATTATTTCAAGATCATAGGCAAAATTGGCCGCCGATCTATTCAAAGGAGGTGTTTCCATACGTACATCACAAACAGATGAGAAGCATACTGAACCCTATCTAATGAGCTGTGGGCATTCTGATATCCCTCACATGATCAGTTTTAATTATGGCTTTGGAAAAGTTTCCACTATTTACGTTGGCAACCCTCGATAGTATAAAAGAATATTATTTTGTAATTCCTTTCTCTCTCTCTCTCTTTCTCTACCAACTATTAGTTCAATTTTTACATATGTATTTATAGATTCGGAGGCAATGATCTCTGTAAGAGAGTTACAAATGTGAAAAGATGTTATACCGAATCGATTGAAATGCTTACCAACAAGTAAAGAGTCGAGGAATGAGATGGGATTATACGTAATAGAAGGCATCACGCTCTCATCAATCGACCCAACCGATCCGAAAGGAGAACCACCTCCGAACCCTCCCTCCTGTCGAATACGAACAGGGGGTCCCGGGGAGGTGACGTAGCTGGTAGAAGGCGCTGTTGGTAGATGACGTTGAAGCACTTGTAACCACGAAGAGGGGGCCAACGACGAAGAGTTGGTAGAGATCACCTTTTCACCACAATCCTCATTGTCATAGGCTATGCTTGCCACTGTTGGAATGGCAGCAGTCTGAGAACCATTGAGAGATGTGCTGCTACTGGGTGATGGCTGATTGGAGATGGCCCAAGGGAGCATATTGCGAGGCAGGCGTGTGGAAGTACCCCTGCCGCCTCCTGAAGTGCTTTCGGATTGGTGTAGTTGATGTCCAAAGAGACCAGTGTAGCCAAAAGATCGACTAACACCAGCTACAGCTGAACTCACACTTCGACTCCTCGGTTGCTGAGGAGGAGATGGGTAATTGAGAGATGGTGAGGGATTGTCTAGAGTGATAACCTCCGGATTGATATACTCCACGCGTAAGGAGGCCAGTTTACGCATCGACGCTTGAGCGAACGACTTCCAACCTCTAAAATAATCAAGAGAGTCAAGAGAAACTGCATAATTTGGCTAATTAACCCCCTTATTAAAACCGATTGATTACATATCAATTCGTCTTGATTCCATTTTTGAGGCATAAAACTTGAGCTGGTAAGATACTACTCACTCTAGTAACTGCGTCAAGGATTCGATGTTGGTCATTAAAAGAAGGGAGTCAGAGAGCGCGCCAGCTCAGTTAGCTAATAAAATTAAAGTAAAATATTATGAAATTTAGCCTATGATAGAAGACCAAGGAAGGTATTAATGAAGCCAAATCACGTTGGGAAGTAGCGGAGTCGTGTCTCGTCGGAAATATTTGATTATGAAATCGTTCAAAATGTTATATTTTATGAGGTACCCTTCGTAAGTTCATTTTGCGACGTATGAGAATGTTCCCGGCAATAAACATCAAGCTTTTCAAGAATATGCAATAGTTATGTAAGCCTCTTACTTAATTGGAATGAAAGGCTCTAGCAAACTTAAAACGAAAGTAAATCTATATATGGATACTGAAAGGAAGATGGGTATTTACTTATTCCAAAACCTCAACTTACAATAGAAACGAATAAAACCAAATAAAGCATACCCCCCATTTGTGCAATTTCTCCAGTTTCCTTTTATTTTTACAAATCTAACACTCGAGATAAAACACCTTTCCAAGACTCAATAGAGGATTACATTTCACCGCTTATTATTAGCAAGCGAAAAGTGCTGTTGCCATGGTAATAAATGACAGTTAAATCAATCTTCATAGACTGAATTGTTGCCCAATCAATCGCGAGAAGGTACGACAAAATCAGAAGGATTGACCCATCCTTCTCAAACCAACGAACAAGCCTACAAAGGCCTTTTTAAGTTAATAAACTGGTAAAGCTTATAGAAATTGTAACGATCTTTTGATGAGAATTGCGCTCTATATAACTTTTATAATAGCAAATGAAGAGTTTAAATCCTGCTTAAATTGTAAACACATTTTAAGAACTGAGTAAAAAGCCCTTTATCATTTTCTTTCGAAATCAGAACCGATGACACAAATCATTAGTTCTGTAAAAAGCCATATCTAAGAGAGTTACTTTTTAGTTGAAGCAAGTTGTTCCTGATCCTGATTTGCACCAGTGGACGGTTTTCGTGAATGACTGCTACCGACGATGGATATCTTGTCCATTGATTCAATCAACTGGCTCTTGGAGAGGTTGTAGTCACTGGAACTCTTGTTAGCACGTTGAAATGCGCTACTTCTAGAGTTGTCGACAGCGTCTTCATATGGGAAGTAGCTAGGGTTTTCCTCTCCGACACCAATAGTAAAGGAGTGGCCCTCACAAGATTGGCAGGCCGTGGCCTTGCTAGAGGGATCGGAACCAGAAATCGCTTGGGGTGCGTGAACCGGAGCTTCTCCTGAGGAGGGAGTAATTGGAGCTTCGATAGCATCTTTTGTGGAATCAAGGGAGATCAATTTGTGACCCAGATCACGCTGTAATTGATTGGCCATAGCATAAGAGGGAACATTGAGGGATCGCTTACTCCAAAAATTAATAACACCCAAGTCATCTGTACCGTATTCATAGAGAAGGGCGATCATAACACGGACATAGACCTGAAATTGGTAGAATAGACACCATTTGTAACGATTTTGCACATTTAAAATAAACGATGAATTACTACCAACCTGATCGACAGGTTGAAGAGGAGTATCCCAGAGACGCAGGAATAGACACACAGCATGATGGAGGAAATGACGAGCTTCTAAGCAAAGTCCATCGGCATTGCTTTCCTCGTCGATGCCGCTTTGCCGGTGTTGTTGTAAAGAAGTGAGAAAGGCAGGCAATAGAAGGAACCAGAGGGAGTATACTTCAGAGAGAAGATGTTCTGCCCAAGCAGGTCCTCCAATGTTTTTACGCTCAGTAGCTGGAAAAAAAGGAGCATCAATGCGACATTCACGATTTCAGAAGAAAATGAGTCGCCAAGCAATGTGTGTAGTACCATGCTAACAGGAAGGCGAGGAAATTCTTACAACCCACGAAAGTTTAAAGATCCAAATGATTTTTAAAAAGACCATACAATGGGTATCAAGACCCTTACTTTAATGAAAAAAAGTGAATACGTTTTCGGTTTTTCTTTTAGAAGGCACCTCATTGTATTTAATTATTAAACATCTAACCTAAACAGGAGACAGAGATCCGATTCCAAAGATAAAAACAAACAGGCATTTTGAATCAGCAAAAACAATTGGTTGGCAGTGAGGATTTTACTCAAATCACATTAATGATTTCGTATTCCCAACGCACTATATTTCTGTTGGCATCATAATGTCAACTAAAGGGCTTGTGTTGATATGCCAAAACACATGCGAAAGCATACAAATGGGGCATTATCACAGAAAAAAATTACAATACTGAAAAAACTGCTTCAATAAAGATGTCAGAAAAGAAATAAATAGGTTCATAACGCCTTTCATTGTGCTGGTAACTGCGATCATTAAAAGTGATTGGAGGATATATAATCTTAGTAAGCAGAAAACGAGCCCCGTTTGAGAAGACTAATCTTAGATAGTCTACAAACTACAGAACTTGAGAGATGTCTAAACTTAACTGAAATAATGTTACTTACCTGCGATCAAACTGTCAGTGATCTCTTGTTGAGTTCTTTTTAACAAACTGTTAAGTTGAGTCACTCCAAGAGCTTCCACAACTCCATTTCCAAGAACGAAAGAGAGGGGTTTCTGTATGAAATGTTGTTGAGGACTGAAATCCTCCTCATTATCCTTCTTATCTGCCATGAGTCGAAATAGCTCCATTTCCTCCCTGTCACAAGTGCCCGATGGGAAATTTTTCGATAATCTAGAGCAGAGTTCATCAAGAAGAGATGTATTCACCAACTCCGGAAAGACACCCTCTTTAGTCCAAGTGAAGAGACTCGGTGAGAGATCAGGACAAAGTTGATCAAACTCAAGCAGATGGGGAGGGAGCTGCACAATCCTAGAGGCAGAATCATTGCAGAAGTTTCCACTTAATGAATTATCATCAGCAGCAGAGAGACTGTCTTGAGGGGAGGGAGGAATTCCATTGGAAAAGGGGGCTGACGCTGCACTTGAGCATTCGCCTCCAGATCCGCTGGAGACTTGGGATCCTGTTTCACCACCCACACTCCCCTCGTAGCCCCCTTCTTGGAGTATTCTACGATTACTTCGATTTTCTTTACTTCGAGAAGTACGAAGACGAGCGATAGCCGTATCAAAGGCTTCGAATTCCGCAGTACGTTCACTGATACAGTTAAGATCTCGAACAAAATCGGCCCACAATTGGGTTCCAACTAAAGCGGTGTAGAAGGCTGATGAACCTCGATCTGATGCGCATTTTGCAAATGCTAAAACGGAGAAAAGAAAAAAGGACGTTGTAAATATGCAAGGAGTAAAAGACGAAAAAGGAGTACAATAGACCTAACTACCTTTAGAATCAAAAAGGAGTTCTTTGTCTTTTGCAATGACGGGAAGAAGAAATTCACGATAGTCTTGAAGTAATTCGGTCATGAAATGATAACAGGCTTGACGCACATTATTTCCAAGAGAGGACTAAAAGGAATAAAGCTTGAATAATAGCTTGAATTACAAGCATGCGACAAAGAAAAAACCACACGACGCACTCAAAGTAAGTCGTGAATGAGATGTTAGTGATGAAGAAAATACATCAATACTTTGCAATTAATACTGGCCAGATTAACGAAAGAAGTAACGTACGATTTGTCCGTCGTACTTTGTATTAGCCTTGGGACCAATTCTGCTTAACTCAATCTGAATTTTGTCATTAATCTCCCTTAGACGTTTATAAAGACAAGTCAGTGATGATCGGAGACGTTTCACGGGCCCCTTGGGAAGACAAGAGACAGACCCCGAGGAGACAGAAGTGGGAGCTGGTCGAAAGAGTTTAGTGTCCAAATCCACTACACTGATATCTGAGGGTTCAGCAGATGGGAGTTGGAAGAATTCGAAGAAGCGTGAATCGACGCCGATTAGATATGGCGAGGGTGATTGGATTACATGGATGCAACGCATGTGAATTAAGGGAATATAGACCAGGACCCAGCGAAGTGGATGGATAAGCTAAAAATAAGAATGGTAAATGCTGCTTAATAGCGAACTGCGCAAGAGGAAGTTTCGGTAAAACGAAAAGGACTTGACAATCGAACGTTCTACACGATAAAGGTGCTTTAAAATACACAATAACCACCAAAACAACAATGACTGACTGTTTTTAATCCATAAAGATAGTGAATCAAACGCTGATAAAACCGAGAAGAAGTATTAACAAAGTAGTCATTTCACAATTTCGTTGATAAGAGGGAGAGTTGAATTTCAATCCATTGGCTAACTGGGTTACTCCTGGGAATAGAAATTTGATGGCGCTCAATGAATAAAAAAACCGCTGCAAGATCTCAAATGATATGCGCAGTTGTATTTCTTTCGTTTATGCTTTTGGTCTTTTGTTATGGGGTAACTCCTCCCCCCAATACAAATATACATATGTATACCATTGGAGTAGACTTCCTGTTTCATAGTAAATTTAGCTTTAGGTATCAGAAGATTGACGTATTCAGCTAAAGGTGACAAATAAAGCGTAATTGTTACCAAAAGCCGGTGCGTGAATATCGATTGATGGTAAAAAAATATCGAGAGTGTTAAAGAAACGTATAATCGAACTGAAATAAAACACTTACCGTAGTGAGTTGTTGAATGATTTCAACAAGCAGATCAGGCATGACTGAAACAAAGAGAAGTTTTTGTTCGGTCAAGAGCTGTGCAATCAATTTTAGAACGAGATCCGGTCCAAGATGGTACAACATGGTAGCATAGGAGTTTCCAGGTGAGCTAAATTTGAAAACAGAAGATCCAATTCGTGAATAAGGTTGCCTAGAAAATTAGCAGAAGGTCATGAAAGGCCAGTCCTGCAATTTCCTAAATGAAAACTCATTCACATCAACTCCTGCACCTATTCTATTTGTCAAGTGGTGTGCACTGAATGGCACACATTTATTATCCCATCATTGGAACAACTATTTGGCTAGAGATAAGACCTAACGCACCCAATTTATTAAGAGTTAGTAGTTACAGTGTAGTGAAGGAGCTCATTGAGAAAAGTTGAGCCGAAATTCTCATCTATTTATAAATTAGCAGAATGTAAATGACATAACGGAAGTGGGGATGATAAAAAACAAAAAGCTGATCATTCATTTATTTAATCATACCTAGCGAGACAATTCTTGTAGGGAGTTTGAAGTGACATATGGAAGGTATCGAGCTGAAATTAAGATAAATCATATTCAATTACGTAGTCCATAATTATAAAGAGCATGAAGAAAAAGCAGCCCGATGGATGAGCACTTACATTCACAGTGACATTGGGTGATCGACAATCGGGGAATGGAATCTCGCAGAGCATAAAGGCCAAATATCTGCACAAAAGACAACAAATCAACCCCAATTAAAGGAATCAAAGTGTGCATCAGCTTCATCGCAAATGGACCCGGTCCAATGCGTAATGTGACAGGATAGACGCGCAGCAACAGACACACACGTGAAAGCAATTCCCTGAAGATGTTATCTTTGCAACAAGCAAGACCCCTGCCAGCATATCCAAATCAAATCGTTCATGAGTCTTTAGTGTTTTGAGGTGTAGCGCAGCATTTGTCATCAAGTTAATAAGTATAGTAGGGGCCTAAAGAAACTTGACTTTTTCTGTTTGACTTCTTAAAGCCCCACCCCTCCTCCATCCCGTTTACAAGCAAAACTAATCGCCAAATGAGAGCTTGTTCATTGAATTTCATAATATACTCCTTACCGTACCCATTTTCTACCAACTTCAACACCAACTTAAAAATGCATTTTGGGCGTCTTCAAGAGAGAGCCAGTGTTGATATCAATGCGCATGGGGCAGTTTAGCACGAAATCATTTCATTTACCCTCCATGCTCCTTTGATCATTATTATCAACAACTCGCTATGCGCTAGTCAGATATACGTCAGATCTAACACACACGAAACTGAACTAGATACTTAAAATTCTAATCTGATGTTTGGCAGTTAAGCATGAATAATAAATCTATAATCATTAACAAGAGGCGATAAGATGTCGACTAGTTGGAGTATGAAAATGCTCAAATAGTGACGTATTGTCTCTACTAGTTGACCTGATCTCAAGTATTATGCAAAGTGTTGTGTGGACATATTTAATAAATAACAATCCTAGCAAATGCCACTAAACCATGCAGATATTTAAACTCCATGCTTGAAAGTTCAATTGGTGAAATGGTTATTGCATTGTGAAACACTTCAAAATTCATTTGTCGATTTCTATAAGCAGCCATTATTGTGGGCGCTACGTTTATGATAATAATTAGGGAAGAGAATGCTCTGTTGGTTGGATAAGAGTGGTATTTCGATCAGTAAGACAGTGAAGGAATGAATTCTCAACCGTATACAAAGCAGTACGAATACCTTCTAATGAAAGATACATACCTCTCAAGAGGAATGGACTGTGGCTTGGGACCAAAGCACTTGGAATGCAGGAAGTCCAGGAGGGGTTTTAAAGCATTACCAAAATTGTATCTCGAGACGAAACAGAGGGTTTTTGTGACTCCGAGGATCTGATCACCTACTCGTGAGGTTGCAAAGATGCCTTGACGCTTCTTGACTAGTTCAATCTCCTCTGTGGTGTAAGAATCAGCGTCAGGAAGAACAACCGCAAAGGCACGCTTACGAACTGTTCCCGTGGCCGGGTCGACAATTTCCTCTTCCTTCATCTCAACTAACTCGGGGTCGACGTTTAAGCGGTAGCAACGATCCCTATCCAAACGAGACACATCGTAGGGCTCATAGAAGGTTAAAGCAGAGCCATGGAACTATTGCAAAGAATTGTGAAATTCTACGTAAAAAGTACGAACCACTCACTTATCATTAAATACTATAATAAATAATTAGGTAGCAGAGGGATAATAAGCTAGAGACTAAGCGATTAATTCAAAGATAAAATTCACCCACATTTTCCACCCACATGACCATACTCTACGTTCTTCTACATGGGGTGTGCGATAGACTTACCTCCACGTGGTGCGCCCTGGGCAACGTATATTCATACGGCAAAAAAGTCTATTAACTGGCAGTTGACTTCTCACTTCAAACTACCACCACCTCACTCTATGCCATATACGACTATTTCCACAGTACTCTTCTTACCTTTTTTCTACCTTTATGTTTGTCTCTTACTTCTTTGAAACACTCTTCTCTTCCCTCCCCCTCCCCTCTCGACTTTTTTTCACTTTGATGTTCCTTCCCCTCTGTGAAGCCTGAAGTCAACTAAATGGCTCATGATAACTATCAAAACGCCTGCCATTTGATATAAATAAAAATAAACATTTACATGAAATAACGCATCCATTATTTGACTTTTGCATCTTTTGTGCTGTACAATTAAAGCCCTACAGAATTAAAAGGTAGTCAATTGTCATCAAATGCATTAAAATGTAGTATTATGATGTTTTTTGATGCTCATCCTCTATTAATACCTTTTGCCGAAAACTGCACTTTGTCAATGTTATTTTTTAATTGTTATCGCAAACTAATTATCTGCATACTGGTTAATGGGATTTCCCATGAAACAAGAATTCGAATAATAATGCAAAGTTACCAATCTATTCTCATGAGAAAATCTTCATTCACTCCGTTCACACGGATATGATGTGCATACTGCTGGAATAAAATGTGCATTTTTGTCCGATGAAATTCAGTTTCAAATTGTAACATTACCTACTGCAATGTTAAATTTACAATAAATAGACAAGGATTGCTAGAACGCATGGTAATTACATCTAGCGAATTAAAGAAATATTAGAGGCTATGAATGTTGAAAAAATTTATTCCACTATTATGCTAGACATTGTTTCGATAAATAGTTGAAGCCTTTGTTCATTTCCAAATGAATTCGAGATATAATGAAAGTCTGCCTTTTTACAGTTGTGTAGTCACTTATTTTATGTGAAAAATCCTGTCGTAAATTTCAACACGGATCACGTCTTACAAAATGTCTTATAAGTTACTTAAAATTGTCTCATTTTTTGGGCAAGCCTTTGAGGTGGCATTGGTAATAATCAATTCAACACTGACTACGTCATCTACATCGTGTTTGCTATCTTATTAATTGATTATTTATTTATTTATTTCAAATGGCAGGCGTTTTAATAGATATCATTAGCCCTTTAACTGACTTCGGGCATCACAGGGGAAAGGAACATCAAAGTAACAGAAAGTCGAGGGGTGGGAACAGAAGAGTGATTTACATATGTAAAGAGACAGATACAAAGGCAGAGAAAAGGTAGGATGAGTACTGCAGAAGTGGTAGAATATGGCATAAAGTTGGGCCATTGTAATTTTAAGCCAGAAGTCAATCGCCAGTTAATAGACCTTTTTGCCGTATGAGTATACGTTGCCCAGGGTGCACCACGTGGAGGTAAGTCTATCACGCACCCCCTTAATTGATTATAAAACTTTAAAATCTTCCAAAGTGAAATGAAAGAGATTTGGAAGTCGATCTTGTGTAAATTCATGCGTTAATGTCAAAGTTCTTCAATTTTCAATATTTATTTATATCAAATGTTAGGCGTCTTGGTGGTTATCATTAGCCCTTTAGTTGACTTCAGGCTTCACAGAGGGAGAGGAACATCAATTCGAAAAAAGTCGAGAG